TTTGTGCCTGTAGAGCAAAGATACAGCTGCCTACAGCTGAGCTAGGACCTTGTGTATCATCAAAGGAGAGAAATTCACCTCAGATTCCAGTCTGACTAGGGTCTGATGTATCACACTCCGCACGTGCCTTTGTCTCTCGGTTAACTTGAGAGAGAGCCATAGGTGGCTGTTTCAGATGATGGCTTTCGGTATCTAAAGCTGCATGAGATGAAGCTCACCAAGACTGCCTAAGGATAGAAAATGGAGGAAGAAGTCCCAAGGACCAATGCGGTGTCTCCAGCACAGGACCAGCCCAGTTCTATCAGTTTTGCTGGGAACCTGGTGTGTGTTTAAACATGATAGTGTTGCTGGGTTTGTGTGCTTGGCTCTTTCATATTTTCAGATGATAAATTTTGGCTTTCAAGAGAAAGCTATACCAATCATTTGTTTATTTTTGAAACTAGATGCCTAATATTTAGAGTCTTGCATTTGTCTTAGTCACCAAAGGAATAGTGACCCGATTTCAGGGCTGCTGAAGTCTGATGGATTTTTGCTGCGATTCATAAATTCTAGCTTTGCTGTTACATGTTTCCCATAAATTTGCAAAGGCTTTTGCCCTCCAGTTACCAGATTGGACCAAGCTGGGTGAAATAAGGAGAACAGAGGGCCAGACTGTATCGAAGCGTGCTTTAGAGGTACTTTTAGAAGAAGAGCTAGGTTGTGTGAGGTGCCATAAACAGAAGTGCAACAGAGAGCGTATTCCCTGAGCATCCCGTCTTAGGATATGAAAATATGCTCCAGGAAGATGGAAATATTAAGATGGGCTGTGGACTGCAGGACAGAGCCGTGATGAAGAGAGGCTGCTTCACAGAAGGATACAGTCACGATGGACTGAAACCCTAAAGCATATCTGAAGGGCTAATAGCATTTCTCTACCACTAGCTTTTCTGATTATAAGGTCCTTCTAGATCAGCAGGTTTCAGCACACCGCTCTGTGCGCTTGCAGGCATGCGCAGGCTGCTTCTTTGGGATCGTCAGCAGGGAACTTAAGGATGTGTTTTCTGGTGATCTGGAGTCCCCTTTTGAGGTGAATCCTCTGGTTGTCACCATTCGCTGTGCTTGTTCAGCCTGCCTGACACGCACACGTGGTTTTGGATGGCCCATCTCGGGAGATTCTCTGCAAGTGCATAGCTGACACACTTCACTTACGGACAGGGTCAGGCCACAGGACCAGGCTGCAGCTAGCCAGAAATAACACCCTTCAAATGCATGCGGTGTGGGTGTTGGGTCCTGCATACCCACTGTTTTACTCAACAGCTCATCTTTAGTGTGCTGCAATGCTCTCTGATGCACACGCTGCCCAAGGAAACTGGAGTGTGGTCAGTAAGCTTGAAAACACTGGTAGCCATCTCCACCCCCCAGGGAAAAAAAATTAGAAAAAGCTGAAGGCCACTATTCTGGGTCAGTTCTCAAAGATTTTCCATAAGAAAATAGTACGTTGTTTTAACGCTTGTGCTCATCCCAGAAAACTGCATAATTCACTGCTTGAATGTATGTCTGCATTGCTGGCTGCTTGCCCTTCCCAGGTGTGTTTGTGGATGTGTGAAACCTGAACTGGCCTTACGGTGTGGAGCACGTTCTGAACTGAAACAGCTGAGCATTTAACAGCTGCATATCTAGGTGTCAGCTTCTTTTCAGATTTGCATTGGCTCCTCTGTTGAATGCATTTGTATAAATGTGGATTTATGGATTTGTTTAACCACTGCACAGATTCTTGTGTTGAATAAAGGTGACTTAAGGAGTAGAGCCTCCTTCCTGGGAGTGGCTCACAGACATGAGTTTTAAGTGTGGTTATTAATTTTGCAGAGTTAGAGCCTGAAAAAAGTCAGTGTGGCACAGCTCCATGATGTTCCTATTTGTAATTGGATTTTGGAGCTCATAATTAATTTGTTAAAAAGGGGGAGATCCTGGCCCTGTCAAAGTGAGTGGGAGTTTTCCCCTTGCTTTCAGCAGAGGAGGATTTCACCATCTATCTTTCTGTTCTCGCTAATCCTCTGCAACAACAAAAGAGCAGCCTGGCACGTGGAAGGGATCCTTCCCATTTCTTCCTGCCATTGCCGGGAGTGAGGTAGGAGGACCCTCCCCCCCTTCTCCATTCCCATGCTTCCTACCTATGTGCACCTCGGCAAGATACACTTTCATCTATGGGTAAGGTGAAAGCAGCCATTAAGGAAGCAGTTTGTTCTTAGTGTTCACATGCAGAGATAGGAAGGTCCCTCTCCTGCCCTCTCATGTTTTTGAATAGTTGCAGGAGGGCAGGTAATCAAACCTCTTTGAGGTCTCTGGGTCAAGGAGCCGTCTGACACGGCTATAAAGGTCACCGTGCTCCTTTGCATTTATCTTGTGCCACGGGGAGCACTGTATGCCAGCGTGCTGTCTGGAGCACAAAGAGGTACTGTCTGACATTTTGTAGAATGGGGCTTGGGTTACAGAGTAAAAGCATCTGAAAATAAAACTCAGCTCAGGGCTCTGCAAGGCCAGACCAGCAACACTTGAGAGAGGAGCCCCTCCAGCAAGTAACAGAGATATGTGGCATCCCACGGGTTTACCAGTAATCATGCTTGGCGTTTCTCTCTCGTAACCTATATATAGCACTGTACATCTTCAGAGCTCTTCAAAAATGTTAACAAGCCAAACTCGGCCTCAGTCTTAATAGCCCTTGTTTCAAAGAAAGCCCAGGATGTTTTTCCCTCACACTTCTGCTCTGGAGGCGACGTCTTCTACGTTTGCTTTGCAGTGTGTGTAGCAAACATACGCTGCAAGGCAATTTGTCTGCCTTGCAGTCTCCGCTGTAAGGTAGGCACTAGAGAGCGTCAGAGAACTGAGGAAGCTGAATTATCATCGAGGCTTGTTTACTGGCAGCTTTTAAAAATAATGCATGAACTGTTCAGATAAAACCTGTGCACCACCACAGACATGAGCAGGGCTGGGGAAATCCCTTTGCTCTGAGAAGGAGAGAGCAAATGCAGCGTGCCAGGTAGGATGTCAAGGGCTGGGGGGAGAGAGCTCTGCAACTGCAGCTATAGTGTCTGGGGCCAGCCCTGGTGACAGTGTTAGAATTACAGTTGAGTAACAAGCCCAGGAACAAGACACCAGCACTTGGCTCACAAGAAAAATCTTGCTTTTTTTTTCTCCCCCTGAAGAAATCCTATTAAAAGAAAAAACAGCAAAATGCAAGTCTGCAGAGATGACCAAGCAGGCACTGTCTAAGTGGGGTGGTGTTATTGTTGGCTCAGTTCATTGTCCTGTTGGTCATTTTCCTGTGGTAGACTGCGGCACACAACAGAGACATCCAGGCTGGGCTTTCTGCATTCAGGGACTGAGGGACAAATGAATATTTTGGTGAAATCTTGCTGGCTTCACCCCAATGAATCCTTTAATTGAGCTACTGAGCCAAAGAAATTTCTCAGAGGCCAGTGAAATGGCTCTACTCCAGTTAACATGTCAGCGCACTCTGCTGTTCTCTCTGGGGTGGATGACCACTGTGCAGTAGAGTTGCCTGTGCAGTAAGAAGTCTGCAGAAACTCACTCACCAGAGAACAGCTTTTTTTTTTTTTTCATGTGTTTTTATGCAATTCTCTTGCCCTCTTCACTTTTCTTGCTCTTTTGGCCTCTCCAGTTTGTCACCTTGAAATACATAGGTCTCCCATAATCAAATATGAATTCTTTACTTGCTGAATAGACACCTAAATATAGAAATCTGCATCTCTGCACTGAGAAATTTGTCTGGTGTAGCCAAGTGATTGTTTCATGTGACTGGCATAGAAGAGTCATACAGACTGCGACTTTAGCTTGGTCAGTGGTGGGTTTTTAAGATCACCTTCTTAGCAATTTTGAGAACAAATAAATAAGTAATAATGCCTTCTCTGTTTGTTTATAATTTCAATATTAGAAGCTTGGTAGTGAAAGTGATTTCTTGTCTGCATTTTGTCTCAGCTCCCTCCTCTTCTAATGCATCTGTATGGTGCTGACTGCGCGGGGAATAATGACATGGAGTTTATATAGGAGGAGATGCACTGGAGCATTTGTTCTGGGGGAAGATGATAAATTTGCATGCACACAAATACCTGTGCACTGCATGAGAAAAGGAGAGGCATGAGACCTTGGAATTCTCCTTCAGAAGGTGTTAATGACTCCATGGATGTTACACCATGGCAGACTTTGATCCATTGAGACTGGTTTGCATTAAAAGATAGGTAAACGTGGGCGCAGCAGACCAGAATATCTCCTGTGTTATCACTGCACCGTTTCACTGCCTTCAGTGTTATGGTTAATATTTTGGGGCAGAATAAAGCTGGTAAAGGCATAGTGCAAAAAGCCTGAAGGACCAGAGGATTTAAAGAAAACATTTATCCTCTTTCACTCACTGTCCTGGCGCATAATTTCTTGAACCACAGGATAGTTTTTGTTGTCAGAAGCAACTAAAGAAGGTGCAGTCCTAGGGGCCAGCGGGTGTGAGAGCTTGATGGGAGTCTGGCCACGCAAAGCGTAAATGGCAGCTGGGGTAAAGCGTGCAATGCAGTGGTGGTGGTCACTCTGGAGTGGTGCACACCTGCAGTGTGCTTAGGTGTTAGTAGAGCCACTCACAGGTACTGCAGTAATTCATCTGGAAAGGGCAGAGTGAGCTGAAAAGCTAACTGAAAATCAGGCCCCAGCCACACAGCAGGACAGGCATTTGGGGACGTTCTGAGGGCTTCTTTGAAGAGTGATTGACTGGTTTTTTTAGAAATGGGGAATAAGGTTGTGCAAGAATTTTAGCAGCAGTAAAATTTGGACTGGATCCATCCTCAGTACAATGCATCATAAGCCCGAAGTTTTTTCCATCCCACACTGGCTGTGATTTGTGTGATGGGTTAACGTGCCCGAGTGGGACAGAGGCAAAGTGGGAGGACGCAGGGCTTGCAAGTTGAGTACTTAGTAATCCTGCTGCCACGCTGACTGTTCTCTCCTCCCCTCTGCAGGTGAGAAGCCTTACAAGTGCTCGTGGGAAGGGTGCGAGTGGCGTTTTGCACGGAGCGACGAGCTCACAAGGCATTACAGAAAGCACACGGGTGCAAAGCCCTTTAAATGCAACCATTGTGACAGGTAATGCAGCCTCCTAACACGGTGTTCAAGCAACATGTGGACTTTGTGAGTGGCATGGAGCCACCAGCTCCCTGAGATGAGAGACCTGGCTCCTGGCAGAGGGGCCCCTTCTGGCCTCCTGTCCCACTGCCTCGATCCCTGAGTCAAGGAGGGGCCCTCCACTCTGCCCCTGTCCTCTCTGCCTCAGTGGCCAGGCAGGATGGCAGAAGGGGAATGCTTCCTAAACAGCCTGTTTCCATCCCACAGAGAAAGATGTTGAACCAAGTGCAGGTCTGACTGAAATCTGACGGTGTCTGTTGTGGGCACAGGGTTTGGTCTGTAGGGCAGCTATTCTTAATACTCTCAAAGTAGAGAAGTCCAGAGGGCCCTGGACCACTTCAGTGATGGACCTCTCAACAAAGCATCTCCACAGCTTTCCATCTCCTGGTTGTATGAGCCTGGTGCCCTCACAAAGCAGAGCTCTCTCTGCCTGCTCTGTTTCAAGGGCTACCCCAAGCACCACTGCTGGCTGCCTGTGTTTTGGCAGGGTGGTCAGCAGAAGCTGATGGGCACCACAAATATGTGGGTGTATGACTGGGGGAATGGCGAGCATGTCTGGCTGTTGTGCCACAATTCTGTAGGAAATGTCTAGGAGAAAGGCATTTAATTTCTGTATGATCATTGTCTTCCCTTACCGCTGAGTCCAGGGCTCCATGCTTCCCCGGATGAAACAGAGCAGAGTCAATGAAAGACAGCAAAGGGCTTCATTTTCAAAAGCACAAGAGTAATATAGGCACATCTGACAATTCAAGCTCATGAGGTTGTTTTGTCTAGGATCAGTGATCTTTTCACATTCGTGCTAATTAGTGAATCTTTTCCTACAGTTTTATATCTCACCTTTGACATCTGTTTGATGTGCGAAATACTCTGCACCTTCATTCTGTATGGACCTAGATTTAAAAGCCTGACAGGTGCCCAAAGCCAGGGTTCCTGAACAGCTGTCATGCAACAGTCCTCTTCTGGGCACTCAGAAGTGAGTAGCCAGTTTTGCCTGGTGAGGCTGAGCAGCCAGCAACTCCCAGTGAGAGCCATGATTGCTGCCGCTCACTGCCGATTCTTTTTTGCGGTCTTCACCACTTTAGCTGTTGAATGAATGATGAGCTCATCTGAGAAATCTGGTCATCCTTGCTTGATGCTGAGAATTTTTGAAAGCTGGGTTTTTTGAAATTAGAAACAAAACCAAAAGAAAATCCTCCTTCCCATCCCCAATCCCAATTGATAAGAAATTAGGGTGGAGCAAAAGCAATTACCTCTGTAATGACTCTTGACAGCACTGACAGGATTGAACAATGAGCACTTCTCCCCCTTACACCCCCCCTCAGATGGAGATTGGCAGTGCCCTGGGTGAAATCTGGAGTTTCACTATTGAGTAATCAAATAATGTGCTTGCATCTGAACATGTTATCCAGCTAATCCTATTTATATATATTTTTAAAAGAGGCTTAAGAAAATTACCCATCTTTTTAATGCAGCACTAAGGTTCTCTGCTCTGATAAGGAAATGTTTTGTAATGCAATAAAGGCTCTAGGAAGCCTCTGGGTACACCAGACCAGCAGAGAACATGTGTGGAGAGAGGATGTGTGGGACATAAATAAGGGACCCAATCCTTTTATGGAAAGGAAATTTGATCATTTTCACATCCTGCTCTTTCCAAGGGCTTCATCTCCTTAAGTGCTTCTCTCCCCTTGTCTCCCCTCTTCCTGTCCCCCTTCCCCCACGGTGGGCTTCCTCTTGGATTATCTTTTGTTTTATCCCTGGATTTTCTATTGTTTGCTCAGAATGAGGGACAGGATAAGCCAAGAAGGGACCTCTGGAGTTCTGCTTTTGTGTAAGTACCTCTGTGAAAGAGAACAGTTATGTTTTCTGTTTTAAATGTAAGGCATTGCCTTTCTCTTTTCTTTCCTGTGAAGAACAAACTAACCATCCTGGCCCCACAAACACACACACACACACAAAGCCCCAGGTTTTCTGTGTCAGGACAGACAATATTTTTAGGAGAGATCTAAAGAAATACAGTCAGTATTTTCAACTCCTAAGTCTTTCACCCCTTTGTTAAGTATTCAGTCTTCTCCCTTTACATACTATCCCTTCCTACATAAGTTTTTTCTTTGGCAGCCAACTTGGTCGCTGCAGTCAAGAGATATATTCCTGCAATAGTCTAATGCATTTTGTGCTCTTCAGCTGACTCTGTAGATGAAGGAAAAATATTTATTAGTAAGTTAAGAGTGCTGGAGATTGTGCACTGTTAAATTCCATGCACATACCATCTGTGTGTGGTAGTAGGAGACAGATTTGTCTTTACTCTCCCAGTCAGTTGTTACAAGCTTGTAGAGTGACAGTGCCTGTTCTTCTTTTGGCCCACTCTGCCATACCACTATTTTTCCTTGTTTTCTCATTCACAGATCTCTCTACTACCACCCATTGCAGATGTCACCTCAAGCAAGCACTGAAACATGTGCCTAAATCTGTCCTTAGTTTTTTAGGCAATTTTCTAATGTTAAAGACACTTCTTCCTGAACAGGGGTTCCCAACTGGAGAACAGTTTCTCCACATTTGAACTGCTACCCTTTATTGCAGCCACCATTATTGACAGCAGTTGTGGTCACTCCCTCAGACATCCTGGCTTGCTAAACTTGAAGGAGCCTTTTGGAGCTCTTTTAACAATATTGATGTAGTACAACACATATGCCTGTTGTTGTTCAGAGGTGAAGGCCATACCTTGGCCATCAGAGCGTGAAAGTGGTGATTCAGATAGCAGAAAAGGGGAATGCTGCGCATGCAGTCTGGCTGCAATTCCCTTCCCAGGCTGGTTTCAGATGCGTTTGTGTCTCTGACCTTCTGGCCATTATCAAAGAGGTATTAATGTTTTCTGTGTACAGGTCAATTTTAAAATAAAAGATATATGAAGATGTGGTTCACTTCTCCAGCTGTCCCAGCGCTATCCCAACACCATGCAGCCCACAGATCACATTGTTAGTTATAGCTGGCAAACTACTACTGGTTTGAGTAGCACCGTATGTACTGCAAATGCTGCGTGGTTTGGTGGCAGTAGGGGAGAAAGGAGAATCAGCTAAAGTGGCGTGGATGCAGTGCCTTCCAGACACCAGGGATATACTGGTTCTTAGCACTGCCCAGGAATTTTGCTCTTCAGAAACACAAGGTAGGGTTATGTTCCTCACACAGTGCAAGAACCTCAGCACTCCAAGGGGAAGAGGATGACAGGGCAGTGGCACTCGCTTGTTCTTCATAAATATGTGTTTAGGAGATAGCAGCTTAGTGCCAGACTATTGGGTGTATATTCCCATCTATATGTGTGTGTGCGCATGCGCACGCATGCAGTTTCCTTTTTAACAGCAAGCTGAGAGCATGCTTAGCTGGAATGCACACATCCCACAGTGGAGAACCCACAGCTGGTAAGAAAGATGGCTGAGTGATATATTCTCTTCTCATTGTAGTTACCTTCCCTCTTTCTTCTGCAGAGGCTTCAGTGCCGAGCAGTACTGTGTTGCTAAGGAGATAGAGCAAAAAGAGAAAGAAAGTGATCGTGTTTGGGAGCAGGGAATTTATGTATCCTGCATCAGTGTATGACTTTCAAAATTAGGCTATCTTATTCTAGCATAAACTGTCTTTTCTAGGAAGAGCTGGACTGGGGGAAGGATGATGGGGAAGATTGTGATGGGCCCACGTACAATGTGTGGATCTGGTCTGAAACTGAAGAGGTGTGGAGCAAGGGCATGTCTCACAGGCAGGACTAGAGACCAGCAAGCTGCTGTTTCTTAGTTTGTGAAGAAAGGAGTTTCTCTTCACAGCTTATCCTGTCGAGTCTCTTCCACGGCTGCCTCTAGTTCCAGAACGGAAAAAAAAAGTGTGTCCACTGATCAGCAGTTTTTTTTTTAACAGTGTGATTTAGCTGCAAAATTTTGTAGGGACTGTTTTACAGTTGAAAATAAATGTCCACATCCACCAGCCTTACCAAGAGATAGAACTAACCAAATTAGTCAGCAGGAGAATGTGAAGAATTAGTATTGTACCATTTTATTAGCTATAAATTAGCAAATATGGTACCATTTTATTAGCTATAAAAATATTCTAGGGCTGAAAAATATACCAGATGCTAATACTGTGGTTATTGATGTGAAACAATGTATTGAATCCGTATTTTTAACAGATCTTGCTGCGCTGTGACTCAGCGTACTTCTTCCTGGGTTGCATCTACAATAGAGACAATCGGAGAGGAAAAGCCATGCTTGGGTGGTGGTCTTATGACTAGTCCTAGACTGAAGTGCCAGCTGGTGCATGTCTTTTTGGCAGCCCCTCAAGCTGTTGTTTTGTTTTGGCAGCCCTTGTAGCCAGAGCATGCTGCTTTCTCAGTTTAGACTGACGAGAGAGATGTTGGTCCAAGGGTGTGTTTTGGCACTCTAGGGCTAGAAAATTCTAGCTGTGCTGAGTGTGCTGTCTTGAAAGCCAAGTGTCCATTGTCAGATTTGCGTCTGTCTTGCTGTGCTTCATGTAGGAGCTTGGAGGAATGCAGGCTCCATCCTATTTTGAAGTCTGTCTTCTTATTTTTTGCTAGTCTGAAGGTATTAGCCCCCTTGTAAGCTGCTACAAATCAGCGGAGAACAGCTGACTTGAGCAGAGTTGTGGTCATCTATAGAAGAGGAGTATCTAGCTTTTCTTGCAAAAGTCACCTTCTTATGAAATTTCTTTGTCCTAAAAGTGCACCTCTGGATCACTCATCTCTGCATGTAGATGCAGATAGGGTGCTCGTACAGGGGAATACTGCCAGTGGGACAGAAATGATCTCCTAACTATTTAAAAGCTCTTAATTTTTATAGTTCTTCTCTTTCTCAGCCTTCCTCTGCTTAGGTGTTTATCCTCTGGGTGTTTGCCCTTAGACTGAGTGTTCTTTTATTTACCTTTGATTTTTGGTTTTTTTACCCGAGTAGTTAAATTCATTCTTTTACCTTATTCTTTATGAAAAATACTAAATACTCAACTACTAGTTTTTTTGGAAATACATTCAGTGCCCATGTATGAACTACCCAGATTCTCACAATAAGCTGTTTGGATATTCTTCAGACCAGTATTGGTGGCTCATTTATACTCTAAATCTGTGGGGCAGTGAAAAAACATTCCAGGCAAGTCAGTTCTGGAAGTAGCTTTTCATGGTGCCTTCAGACCCTACAAAACCAGCTTACTCAAAAGCCACAGATACATGGAGTATGATATACGGTATGATATTTAAAATAGATGTTTTTTGCTATTAGTAAAAACAGATAAGCCAGTGTCTTATGGCTTAAGGTGGAAAGAAGGCAAGCCAAGATTTGCAGGGAACTTGGTAATCTCCCAGTTTTTAGTGCTCAACTTGAAGTATCTAGTAGAAGTTTAATTGCTGAGAGTGTCTGAGTCCTGACGCTCTGACAGTCAGGCTTCATTTTAGGGCTTTGGTGTAGTCAACCAGAACTACTGCCTGCTTGTCCTGTGGTTTGCTTTCTGGTGCTGTACGTATCTTTAGTGACACTGTAATGGAGAGTGTGAAAGGGGTTGGTGCTTTCAATCCCATTTCTAATGGGTATGAAGTTGAAAAGATATTCTTGCTTACTGGCAGTCTCGATAAAATGGGGTGTATGTTGAAAGACGGAAAAAAAACACTTGTCCGCCTGAGAACTTATTCCCCTGATCCTTCTGACAATATCTTGGTGGTGTGAAGTGCCTGAATTTTGGCGCTGTTCCTGCTGCCGTGAGTGTCCTGCAGCATGTCTACTACAAGGCAGCTGTTCTAGAATAGTAACTCCTGATTAACATTTTGTGGGGTTGCTCTTGTCCTGGAGAAAGTGTGTTGTATTCTGAGTATCTTAGACCACTTCCCCAGTGAATTAAATAATTTCAGAAGAAAGCAGTCATAAGCCTTTAGAGAGGGAATTAATCAAGAATAGATGCTTCATTTTAAATTCATGCCCTACCTTATTCTCAATTAACTGCATGTTTAGGGCAGCCCTAAAACTCAACTAGTTCTCTAGGGTTGCCACTCTTAAGTCCATCTCATCAGCATCCATTTACATGTTCGGAATGTTAAAACATTATGTTTTCTTATGAGATGGAGAAGAGTGGCTTTTTGGATAAAGAACAGAAGTTGAAAGCTGAAGTTCTGGCATTTTTTTTTTTCTGGTATTACCACATTTCTTGTGTGGTTTATAATTTCCTTGCATTCTCTCTCTCTCAATTTTCACACTTACAAAATAAGCATAATACAGTATCTTCTCTCAACATCCTTTAGGGAGATAGTATTCATCAACATCCACATATTATGACCCAAATTCCCAGCAGAGAGAAAGGGAGCGGTATGTAGCCTGACGAATTGTCAGCCTCCAAACTCTGAACCAAATTTCTTTCCAGTTTGGAGTGAGAAATGAGAATTCGGCTTTCAAAACTGGCATCGTACTTCAGTGCTTGTTGCAGGTACTGGGCACTTGAGAAAGCTGGTATTTTTTTAAACTGGTGTTTCTGAGTAGTTAAGCAAAATTGACTTGGTTTATTTAATTTTTTTATATGCATACGCACTTATACTAAATATCTGATTTTATACTACAGGTGCATAGATAAGCATTCTTCCCTGATGTTTGGGTAAGTGAAAGAAGGGGGAGGGAGAGGAACAGTGAAAGGAGAATAGTAGTCTAGCTGCTGAAGAGCCAGGATAGTTGGCCATCTGTGGTCATAGAGGTCAATCACACAGGGTTTGGTGGTGATCCATGGATAATCTAAGGAATGTCTCTAAACCTGGATATATATTTTTGCCAGTACATAAGGAGGAAGGAGCAGGAATCCTGTTTTCCCAAATCCTCTGTTTGTTTCATTTCCTGCTTACTTTATTTTGCAGGTGTTTTTCCAGGTCTGATCACCTTGCCCTACACATGAAGAGACACATCTAAATATCAGTCAGCTTGGTGTGGATGTCATCTGAGCTAAGTGTTGTGAGATGAAAGTGGAACTCAAGTTACAACGTGCTGCCTTGCAGGAGAAGAAAACTTGATCACGTGTAATCCTCTGTACAGAGACCACACACTCACACTGTCATGCACCCAGTTATACTTCAGTACGTACATCGGTTCTTTATGCCTTGCCCCAGCTGGATGGGAGAAGATGCAGGCAAGGAAACGATATAGAGGTGAAGTCAATGCGAAGGAACACTTGCTTACAGTACTTCGTCCCTCTTGGATTTGTTTCCTGTTTTTGCCAGTGGAAATCAAAGAAAACAGAGGAGGCTTCCCTGCAGGTGGACGGCAGTAGGAGGGGCTTATTTAACTTGCTTCTCAGTGCAACTCAGTAGGAGAATATGTCATCTTGAAGTTGCATATTTGTAGCACTAACTTTCTTTTTAAATAGATGGGGGGAAAACATTGACCTAGAAAACCAAATCCCAGTTTGGTAGCCAAAATTAACCTCTTGGTTCATTTGTTCTTTGTCTAAGAATTCCTAATGTTCAGTGCGTCAGACTTCTCACAGACACTTTGACCTGTCTTGGTTTTGGTTCTTCTTCCTAGAACTGAGCTATTGAGATCCTTTTAAGTCAATACCAGTGGCCTTAATGGCAGTAGACTGTGGAGTGACACTTGTGACACAAATATCCTCTTCTTGGCCTGAGTTTATGTAGACTTTACGGAGGACTGTATTTTTGTTTGTTGTTTTTATTTTAATTTTTGTTTTGCCTATTGCACAACATATGCACTAGGGACTCTGGAAGCTGCTGCCATGATGGCTAAGTGGCCAAGGGATAAAGCCCTGAGAAACGGCACCTAATATCTCTGTGGGCCTCACCTTATTGCCATAGCTAGGACTTCTTGTTTATTTGTTGAACAAAAACCTTTAAAAGCTTATTTGGAAGCTTAAACATTTTTTTCTCTTTTCTCCACAAACAAGTGGTCTTCAGAACTCCTTTGTCTTCACCTGGATATCGGTCTGGGACTGGCCACACAGGCATGACTACAGGATTCCTTCCACATCGTGTGAGCATGTTAGCCACAACTCACAGTGACTTAGTGATGAATTACATTGCTTTTTCTTGCTGTTCTGCTATTAACCAATTTAAAACATTAGACTTTTGTTTGTGTAAAGAGCACCTGCAGACATTTTAATTTAAAGCCAATGTTTGTTGAGCATCTTACACACACACACAAAAAAAACCAAGCCAAAAATCCTACTCCAGTCTTTGAGTGGGAAATCAAGAACTGCTTCCAAGTACAATGGCTTCATTCAGCATTAGCCTTTTAAAGAAATTATCAAAGTCCTCCCTCTCCATTCATCAAGTTGATGCTGTAGCCCACTCCTGTATGAAAAAATGTAACAATGTGAACAGTGAAGGAAGGGTTGGATTTTACATACACCTGTTGAGGCATTTCCAAATGATTAGTCTAAAGTATTACTAACCTAGAGGTCTATTTTGGCCTACTGTGTGAACCATCAAGGAGAAGTGGAGGTCTCATGCTCACCTTTCAGTCTTATTGATAATTTGATTTCGTTGGCTCAAAGAGGATGAATGTCTTCATTACAAAAGAAAAACAAAAAAATTTATCTTACCATAACTTGCATTTGAAACTATTTGGCACTGACCTTGACTCCAAAGACTGCATTTAGGACCATAACAATGGCCTATGCAAGCAGGCAGGTGGTCATTAAGTTGTATATTTTGTATATTCTGGGACCATCCCTACAAGATGTGTCTAGAAATGAAACAAAATGGTGTGTGGTTCACAAATGGTTGCTGCTCTTTTATACTGTATTAGCCAACTGCCCTTCTTTGACTGTTTTGACTCATTGACTGTTAAATATTTCTCTTAATTTATGTTTTGGAAGGTAAAACTGTACTCTTAGGGGAAAAAAGAACAAACAAGAAACTTGATAGATGTTAAAGAGCCGTCACCGGGATCCTTGGCACTTGAATTCTCAACATTTTGCAACCTTTGGTTCCAGTGAGAGATTGAGTTTACTCAAAAGATGCTGGTTTTCCTCACAGTTTTCACAAAACACTGTGACTGTCAACTGAACACTTTGGGGGTAGGGAGGAAATATGATGTCTAGCCCATATGGCATGAAATATGGACCAAAATCTAACCATCTTTTAGGGACAATGATGTAACATTCGTGGTAAAAGCATGAGAGAGAGCAAGAGAGAGAGTGAAAGAAAGAAAAGACAGAAAGACAGAGAGAAAGAGAGAGAGAACAAAAATTGAGTTTATTCCAAAGATTTTAAACTATCCGTACTCTGTATGTGTATATATATATGCTTTTATATATATGTATACATTTAAAAATTGCGGAGCACTGCTTGCTGACAATCTTCTATTTCTCTACTTCTGTATTTGCATACTTTTTATGGCCATTCCACCCAGCTGTTCCACTGGGACTGAGGGCCCTAGAATCCAATTTGTGTTGGAATATATAGAGCATCCTGCCAGATGTCTAATGGTAACTGAAACCTCAGCTGTGTGAAACTGCAGAGCATCCAGTCATTGCATTAGATTAAAAAAAGGATAAGAGAATCCTAGAATTTCTTTACTGTAGTGTCCTAAAGTGTGTGCTCTCAAACCCACCACTACGATTTTCATTGGCTGTGAGCCTGCATTAATATCCTCCTTTGACCTCTGAACACACCTCCCTTTAGACATACTATCAGTAGTGTACAGACCTTAATTGTTAAGTGACAGTTGAACTACCAGGATCTATTTAAAATGGGAAAAATCACGCAAGACTGTTTATTTACTTCTAGTTGTCATTTATGCTCTTGTTGACATCTTATTTAAATATGGCAGAACAAGGGCTCCATGGAAAAAAAACATGCTGCAATATCTGATTATTTTGTTCTAGAAGCAGGCCTACATCTAAATCGTGGATCCAAATGGCCTAAAAAACATAGAGAAAAGGGGGATAAGAGGCTTAACCACATTTCAGATTTCTCAGGCTCTCTCTGTAGCAGGTCTTGAACTCTGAAGCCAAATTCTGGGCTTTGGGACCATCTCTTCTGTTTGTAAAGGGACATATTTTTCACCCGTATACCTGGTGTACTCAGTCAATATCTGGACTTTAGTTTTTGGGTGCTCATATGCCAGTGTCTTGGTCATTACTAAAATTTTGAACCATAGCTGGTATTTTGTAGAAGGAGTCTCCATTTTGGAAAGGCATAATTAGTGACACATTCCAGGATTCATTTTTTACAATCACAAGTTTTGTTTCTTCGCAGATATTTTAAGCTGTGCACTTCAAACTTGTGTAATCTGTAATAGCTAGAACCTTTCTAGGTCTGTGTCTCATTGCTAAAGTGGTACAGTTGTCCTCTATTTGTAAACTGTGTGTAGAAACAGACTAATGAGGAAAGGCTAATACTCTCTGTAAGGCTTGGTGGAAGCAAACCCACAAACAGATGAGTTGGTAACAATTGAGGACCAAGTTTTCCATGTATAGAAAGGAGAAGCTTAACCTTGTTTCCTTCATGCTAGGTTTATGCCTATTTTCAAAAGAGAAGCCATTGTGAGAAAGTCAGATTGTGGTTTCCAAGGCCGTGGAACTATAGGATGAGAACAAGTTGAGACAAAAGTCTCACAAAAGAGTGTACATAGGGGAAGCAACTAAAGCAAATATGAGATTTTGTGAGTAGCTAAATAATATTTTGAAGCAAAGCAGACACTCAGAGAATCATGCAGGTGGGAAGGAGCCTCCAGAGGCTGTTTTGGCCAGTCTCCAGCTAGAGCTGGTTGCTCAGGGCCATATCCAGCTGAGTTTTACATATCCCCAAGGATGGAAATTCTACAACCTCTCTGTGCAAGCTATTCTAATATTTGACCATCTTTATGTTAAAAAAAAAATTTAAAAAAATCCATGTGTTGGGTAGGAATTTTCCATGTTCCAACTTGTTTTCATTGCCTCTTCCACTATGCACCTCCAAGAAGAGTCTCGCTTCTTCTCTACGCCCTCTGTTTAGGTATTTATAGACAGCAATAAGATCTACCCTTTCTCTTCTCTTCATAAGGTTGAACCATGTCTCTAAACCTGTCTTCCACCACCATGTGTTCTAGAACCTGATCTCCATGGTGGCTCTCTGCTAGACTTGCTCCAATATGTCGATAATTTTCTTGTAATAGGGAGGCCAAACCCAGACAGAATATTCCAGATAAAAGACGTACTTCATATGTTGCAGTGTTGATATAATTTATTTATTCTGGATTTTTCCATTATCTAATTGAGACAAGCTATACTCTATGACGAGATTCTAATTTGAGAACTGATTTATGAAAAATCATTTAGGAAGCACCAGTATAAAGATTTTTCTAATCAGATTTGCCGAAGCTGTGTATAAAAATACGCTTATAGAAATATACCTTCTATACTGCCAGCTTGAGGTCTGGCAAGCAAAATTCTGTTTTTCCAAGATAATCATTGCTGTTTTACTTTAAAAAATGTATTGTTTTGATATAAAGTGTATATCAAATATGAAGAAAGGTTATACTGTATTTTAGTCAGTTTTTAGACCAAAACAACACTTCATTGCGTCTTTGTTCTGTTTGGTTTTCCCATTAGGAGATAAAGAGCAACCTACTATATCACATGTATTTTACAAAGATTGTTCTAACAGAGAAGGGGATTTCAGAGTCCAGAGTATTTTTCGTTGTGTTGTTCTTTTTCAATAGCCAATACTCAGTCTAGAAAATTATATTACCTGGATAAATTGGCAAATGAAGAAAACAAAGAAAGGACTGAAATCCTGGATTCTTTCAATGTCTTGGACAAGGTCTTGAGCAGTCTGATCTAACTAAACTGTTATTTAAACAGAGGATTGGATTAGGTGACCTCCAGAGGTACCTTCCAACATCAATTTTTCTGGGTTTCTATGATTGATTCATTTCAGAGCTCTCACTGATGACATGTGTACTGGTTCTAG